ACTATCGAAACTCTCAATGAAAATGATAGGCTTGCACGGGGGTACCTTCTGCACCGAGGTGAAGGTATGCATAATAACACCTAACACCTTTCCCAGGTAATTCATCTGAGTCTAACTATCTAAAAATTGACGTAGGTTGCTTTTGAGCTTGATTTCATGAATAAAGAAAACAAGTCAATGGTGTTAAGGGCCATTAATAAACTCTGGTTCAGCCCTTGCAGCTGTCTCTACCTGCGTAGTCGCTGTCTCTGTCGTAGTTGTAATTGTAGCTGTTGTTGCGGTTGTAGTTGACATCTCGGTATTTGATATCACAACATCACCACCAACGTCAACACCAGCACCAACACCAATACCAGCATCGCTATCAACACGGTGAAGCTCGCGCCGACCCTCCCTGGCCGCTCGACGACGAAAACCTGCGTTGTACAGCGCATTGCGAACGGCGAACTGGCCGACGCCCAGCTGCAGCACGGTCGCGAGCTCAAGATACGAGCGCTGGCGGTTCTCGGGCGACGCGCACACATACTCGATCAGCCGGTTGACCTGCGCCCGCGACAGCTGCGACGGCCGTCCGCTGCGTCGCTTGGGCGTCGGATCGCCAGACTCGCACGTCCACTGGACCTGGCGGTGCGTGATGCCCTTGCGCTCGGCGATTTCTTTGTACGTCAGGCCCTGCGCGCGCAGCCTGAGGATGTCGGCGCGGGACTCCTTCGACAGATGTCTGGCCATGCTGTTGCTGGAGACGACGCGAACGACGGGGGAAACTAGAAAGCCTGTCTGGACAGGGGGTCAGGAGGATGATGTGCTTGGATAATGCTTATGAGAGCTGCCGGCGGTGGTTTCTGCTGTGCTTGCAGGCTCGCGAGAAGATGCGATGGCGGCGCTGTGTCGACCGTACGGAAGTTTTTGTTATCCCGCCCGCGGTTTTTGCTTGTGTTTTTGCGTGGCAGCTAACGTTATTTAGGTACGACCGCTACTGCCGGAGCATAGCACAGCATATCTCGCCCCCCGGACAGCAGATATAAAAAGATGCTGCAGCGTTACATAACGGGCTCTACGACTGAGTTACCGCTGCGGGTGCTTTGCTGCTGGCGATGACGATGTAACCAGGATCGCCGCCGGGACGGGCTTGCTGGCCAATGGGCAGCGGCTTCCCCCAGGTTTTGCGGCCCCCCTGTAGGCCCTGGTTTGGTTTGCTGGCCACCGCATACATCACACGACGGGGGCCCCTGGAGGAGGAGGAAGAGGAGGAGGAGAAGCTGGACAGTCTCCGGAAGACTATATACAACACATCGACAAGCAGCAACTCGCGCCAGCTGGCCGCTTAGCCGTCACATCCTGGCGATGATGTGATCGAGTCAACCTTGCGGGTTCTTGTTTGTTCTCTGGACGCGACAGCAATCTACGGATATCCAGCTAGCCATGGATGATATCAGGCCAGCTGATGCATACGGCACCAAATATGCCGAAAAGGTGCAAGCAGAAGCAGCTGAAGGAGCAGAAGGAGCAGATGCAGAGGCAGGAGACGATGGCGTCGAGGCGACTAAGCGCGGGCTCGAGCAGAGGAACGTCGGCAGCCTGCAGCGTCGACTCAAGGCCCGCCACATCCAGTTCCTGGCCCTGTCCGGCGCTATAGGGACGGGCCTGTTCGTGGGCAGCGGGCAGGTGCTCTCGCTGGCGGGCCCCCTCTCTGCCTTTCTCGCGTATCTCATCACGGGCGCCAACCTGTACGCTGTCATTACCAGCCTGGGGGAGATGGCCACCTGGCTGCCGCTGCCGGGTGCGGTCCCGGTCTATGCAGCTCGATATGTCGACCCTGCGTTGGGCTTCACCTTGGGCTGGAACTACTGGTACCAGCTCGCCATCGGGGTGCCTATCGAGATCAGCGCCAGCGTCCTGGTCATCGACTACTGGCCAAACCCCGTCCCCAAATGGGCGTGGATCACCATCTTCCTACTGCTGCTCGTCCTGCTCAACTGTTTGCCCGTCAGCTACTATGGCGAGACCGAGTTTATCTTTGGCGCCATCAAGCTCACTGCCATCCTCGGCCTGATCGTCCTCATGTTTGTCATCATGCTGGGGGGCTCGCCTACCCATGACCGCATAGGCTTTCGATACTGGGTTAGCCCGGGCCCCATGGCCACCTACCTCAGGCCGGGCTCCCTGGGCCGGTTCCTTGCCTTCTGGAAGGTCTTCATCCAAGCCACCTTCAGCTATGGCGGCAGCGAGATGGTCGTCATCGCTGCCGGAGAGACCCAGAACCCGCGCTACAACATCCCCAAGGCCGTCCGCCGCGTGTTCTGGCGCATTCTCCTCTTCTACGTGCTCGCCATCTTCCTCGTGGGCATGTGCGTCTCGTCCGAGGACCGCAGGCTGCTCAACGCGCTCCGCACTGGTGCCCCGGGGGTCGGTGCGAGCCCCTTTGTCATTGCAATTGCAAACGGCGGCATCCCCGTCCTCCCACACATCATCAACGCTGTCGTGCTTTCGTCTGCCTTCTCTGCAGGGAACACTTTCTTCTACGCAGCCACCCGCGTGCTCTATGCCACTGCCCTGGACGGCAAAGCTCCCGCATTCCTCCGCTTTGAGCGCCTGGGCGTCCCCTACGCATGTGTCGGCGTGACCACCGCCCTCAGCCTGCTTGTCTATCTCAACATCTCCTCCAGTGCCAGCGAGGTCTTCTTCTGGATAAGCAACATCTCCTCCGTCAGCACCCTGCTCGTCTGGGCCTCGATATCAATCACCTACATCCGCTTCTACCACGGTATGGCTAGCCAGGGTATCCCACGCTCCGCTCTACCCTATAGATCCCCCTTCCAACCCTACCTCGCCTGGTTTGCAGTCACCTTCTGCTCTGTCGTGGCCTTTTTCAACGGCTTTGACGCCTTTTTCCCTGGTAAATTCAGTGCAAAGACCTTCATCCCCCCTTACATTAACATACCTATCTTCGCTACCCTGTTTCTCAGCTACAAGTTTATATACCGCACCCGGCTCGTCCCGCTGCATGAAATGGACTTTTTCTCCGGAAAGGAGCATGCTGATAGGCTCGAGAGCACATGGGTCAAGCCTGTTGCTAAGAACTTTCTACGTAAGTGTCTACTCTGCGTGTCTCATGGGCATTCTCTATCCTGTCTTATCAAGACACGTCTAAGGTTTATGTAATGGCTGACTGAGCTGTAGAGCGTATCTGGTTTTGGATTGCGTGATCGTAGTCGTAGATCTTATAGTATACCAGCATCTATATTGTATCTATTTGCTGCTATTAGTGTGTACATAGGGCGTATCTACCGTACCATTCACCTACCTATTTCCTATCCAAATTCCATCTACCCTCTGTCCTTCACTTTTCCAGCTTCTTCTACCTCTTCTATCCCTTCTATCCCTTCCATCTTCTCTTTATCTCCATTTTATCTCCTGTTTATCTCCTTTTATCCCCTTTTTCTCCTGCATTTCTTATATCCGGATGCTGATTAATCTAAATAATCTCACCTGATTGGCCAGCGGAGTTATATCGGACTTTGGAGGAGATGTAGAAAGACGCTGGAGAGCGAAGTTGAAGAAATATTAAAGACGAAGACAGCGAGGTAGATAGCGTAGAAGCAGAAGAGAGAACAATAACCGTAACAACAGCTACAGTAATTGTGTTATCGTTAGGTCTGGCTGAAAATGTCTAAGGTGTGGCTGATTACTGGGTGCTCGAGCGGCTTCGGCAGAGAGATCGCCCTCGCAGCAGCCAGACGGGGAGACACCGTTGTAGCCACGGCACGCGACGTGTCCAGGATCGAAGATCTCGAGAAACTCGGCCTCAAGATCGTCAACAAAAGGCTCGATGTGCTGGACAGCGACGAGCAGGTGAAAGAGACCATCGCAGATGTCGTCAAGACCCTGGGACGCATCGATATCTTGGTCAATAATGCAGGCTATATCCTGGAGGGCGCCATCGAGGAATGCAGGTACGTGCTGACGCCCAGCCGGATCCTCGCAGCGCATATGCGCACTGGTCCATGGCCTTGGTACTGACATCACTGCAGCACGGACGAGGTGCAGAAGTGCTTTGCCACAAATGTCTTCAGCCAGATGACACTCATCAGAGCTGTGGCTCCGTACATGCGAGCCCAGGGCAGCGGCACCATCGCTAACCTGGGCTCCATCGCCGGCTGGAACGGTACCCCGTCCGCAGGCGTGTACTGCGCCACAAAGGCTGCAATCGCCATGTACACCGAGTCCCTCAGGGTCGAGCTCGCGCCCTTTGGCATCGACGTCACCTCTATCGAGCCGGGGTACTTCCGCACGCAATTTCTCACAAGCGGGAACAGGACCGTTGCGCACAACAGGATCCCGGAGCTGTCGTCGACCACGGACCACACAAAACGCCAGCTGGACGCGTACAACAAAAAACAACCCGGTGATCCCGTCAAGGGTGCAGCTGTCATTGTCCAGGCCTTAACCAAGTCGGGGGTATGCGAGGGACGGGAGCTGCCGGTGAGATTGCCGTTGGGCAAGGATGCCGTCCGCTACATCAACGAGAGCTTGAGGAGCAACAAGCAGGCCCTGGACGACTGGGAGGCGGTTGTCTCTTGTACCAACTGCGATGATGTCGAGTAGCCTAGCCATAATCGGCAATGTTCATTCCGAATGATTTCTCGTGTCTTCTTGGAGGCCCCGGTTATTCCTGACTGCTGTCTGATATTAGCAAAAGCCGAGTACCGTAGGCCAAACACTTACATGTCTCCGTCATAGCCAGCGCTACCACACACCCAACTGCCATCCACTGTCTCTATAACCGCAGCTTGTCCTATTACCATCTTGTCTTCTTATCTGCTTCTTGTCTTCTTGTCTTTCTTCTTTTCTTTCTTCGTATTTTGCTTCTTCTATCGCCGAAAAGCCGTGCTGACTAATCTCTTCGGGCCGAGCCGGCGTTTCCAGAAAAGGAAATCTACCAATTTTCAATTAATTCTCAATAACCAAAAAAAATTCTTGTTCGATTATTCAATTATCATCGAATATAAAGGAAGAAGACAATAAAGAAAATTGTCACTTGCTATCCTGAACATGCGGCTAATGGCAGCATTTTGGGCCACTGCGCCGCGGCGTCTTCATCGCTGCTACCGGAGACGCTGTCGCTGCTTCCCAGCGGCCTTGTTTGATTGCTGACTTATGATGGCTTTGCTGTTATTCTATGACAAGAACCAGAAAGAAGAAGGTGGTTTATTTGTCTTACAGGCAGACAAATATTCTGTTATTCTTTTGCTCTTCTACTCGTACGATATCCATTTATAGGCCCAAGCTGGCGGAGTGGGAGAAGCCTGTGATACCCTCTGCGCAGCTCACTGGGCGACCAAGCTATCAGATCCCTCCTCCTCAGTTCCACAAGGCCAGCATAGACAGATCGACTATCAGATATAAGCTTCTGCAGCAGTTACACGTCGAAGAAGAGGTTGATCTATATAAACTAGGTCCCATAATCGAGTGTCAAAGCTTTTGGATCTGGTCTGCAGAGCGTACAGTGAGATAGATTAATGTCCAATTCGTGGACAATATGGCGTCTCTAGCTCTAGCAGCATTCCTTGGACTCCTTGTATCCCTCTCAAACGCTGAAAAGACGCAGTCCTCGCCGTCATGTGTATGTCTGTTTTGTGGTTGCGGACTGATTCGTGATGCTGATGATGGCCTCCCCCTCTCACTAGTGTTCTTTGCTTTCTGAGGCGTTCCCAGACTGTGTGTATGACAAAAATACCCAAGCCTGGAGCTCAGAGAAGTATAATTTTTGGTGTTAGTGCTTTTCCAAGTTTCCGTTGCTACTGCTGTTGTTGGTGAACGCCTCGTCTTACCATTTAAATAGCTGCAACCGCTGTCCTTGATCCTACATGCATATTCACCCCTGATTCTACCGAAGACGTCTCTCGGGCAGTCCGGCTCTTTGCCCAGAATGAATGCAAGTTCTCTATCAAAGGCGGTGGCCACTCGAACATACCTGGAGCCGCCAGTATTGATGATGGCGTGATGATGGTCATGTCCCGAATGAAGACGACAGATTTATACCCAGACAAAGGATACATCCATGTTGGAGCAGGTGTGTTGCTAAAAGAAATATATGCTACTCTCGACCCCCATAATCTATCAGCAGTGATCGGTCGGTACGGTGAAATTGGCCTTGGATTAGCCGTGGGAGCCGGCATTTCCTATTTTTCCAACCGCGACGGTCTTGCTGTGGATAACATCCGCAACTACGAAGTCGTACTCGCTAGTGGGGAAGTAGTTAATTCTAATCGAAAGGAGAATAGGGACCTCTTCTGGGCCCTCAAGGGTGGTAACAACAATTTTGGCGTCGTTACTCACTTTGATTTCAACACGGTTGCCATCCCTGGGCGTGTATATGGCGGCCTTATTCATTATCCCGAATCATCTCTGGATAAGGTAGATGATTTGATATATGATTACCATACCCGCCAGGCCGTGGAGGGCCTTCTTACCCATGCGATGCCTCAGTGGGTGTATAACGGCTCCACGAACGATACTTACAACCTTACCCCTTTGGTTTACAACGACAATGTGGATGAGCTTCCCCCGATACTGAAGCCGTGGTTGGATGTTCCCCATATCTCTACATCTCTTGCTCCTCGGACTTATGAAAACTTGTCCATATATTTAAATGAGGATTTTGGTGATGGGCTGATGTAGGTCAAGCATACTTGATAATATAGTCAAACTGGAGTGCTAAACATGAGTGCCATTTAGACAAGAGCAGCGAGTATTCACTGTCTATGCAGATAAAAAGTTTTACAAAGATGTGCTTTACAAGTTTCGGGAGTGGCTTCAGAACTTTCAAGACGTTCCTGGCTTCCTTGGGGCCCATCTGAACATGCCCATCACCCCACGGCAAGTTGACCAAGGTCTGCTCAAGGGAGGCAATCCACTCGGGCTGGAAAATGCTGGAAATAGCACGTTAGGCGGTAAGTGACCAGCCATGGAGAGACGTAACCCACTTAGCATGAATAATGAATCCTCTAACTGGAGTCTGCTTAGTCCTCTTTTTCGGGATAACTTTTGAAGACCCGCAGTATAAAGAGCATATCCTACCAGAGCATGACAAGTTCGTTCAGTCAATGATTGACCTAGCTAGGGAAAGGGGAGTTTTGTATCCCTATATGTATGTTTGGCCCTATAACTATAGCCTCTCTCCAGCCTTCCGCCCCTTCCTACCCTGCCTACCCCGGGCCTGTCCCTGACAGCTATTATGTTATGCATGATACGTGGAGAAGGTTACTAATATTAGACTATCTCTGCCCAGCATGCTCACGTACTGTGGCTACAACCAAGCTGCCATCGCAAGCTATGGCCCGGAGAATGTGGATCGACTCTGGCGAGTCCAGCGCCAGTATGACCCCAAGGACATGTTTCAGCGTTTTGTACCCGGGGGCCAAAAGCTGCCTCCCCAGAGCAACAAATAAATCAAACACCGTTGGAGCTGCTTACATGAGCCCAGGATCCCCGTCGTTATTACTTCTTGACCCTCCGTTTTGCTATCGAGTTGCTCATGAAACTAGTTACGTACTTAACCAGCTATCATGAGTAACCGCCCTACTAATCCGATCCTACGTCCTTTGACAGGGCAAGTCATGTGCGATTCTGAGTCACGCCCGCGCTTATCTCCTTTTTTTGTTTTTGTTCTTTTGTCTCAGCCTTGGAAGATGTTTATCGTGATGAGCTGGTGTTTCATCCAGAGGCCGCTGTGTTATTCGTGCCTATTTGCCTTCTCCGGCGACCGTGGTAGTCATAGTATGTTATAGACTTATTCGTATTATCGGACCAGACCACCCGCTCTCCTGTGCTCTGTAGACTCCTTCGTCAAGTTACTGTCTTCATTTCAGATCTTCTTATGCTTTTGATGTAACAATAAACATCCGCGCGTATAGACTTTCCGTCCACACGCGCAAAAAAAAAAGTTTCCTGCGACAAACGCAAAACTCAAACAGCTTCGACTCTTTCAACTTCATCTCGTCTTTTACTGCTGCTTCACAGTAACTCAGCGTCTTCGTCTGTCGCGTATCTCGACATGGCATGTCTGATGCTGCCTCTGCATGCTCGGGGTTTACGTTGACTAACAGCCTGGCACGGCCATGGCATGTTTCATCCTCGCACACGGCCCAGGCAGACGGCCCCCTCGGGCTGTGTATGTGCCGCTGCCTGTTGCAATGGGCCCTGCTGCTGCTGCTATTCCTGAGGCCTTCAACCTTGCCACTCAGCCTCATCGCCGGCAGACAGCGCTATCACAGGCCGAAGGGAGCAGGTCTTCCATGGATCGAGGCCCTCGGTTGAGGGCGGCAGAGACTGGAGGCAGCAGGAATGGATTCGTATCAGCTGCATTTTCTTGCTCCTATTTGTCTGCAGGCTGCATTAATAGCTCGAGGGGGAAGGAAATCCACGCCATGCCGGCTGCATAGAATAGTTATGGTTAGCAGGCCCGCGCTTTGCTGGGGTGCGATGCATAGCTCGAGCAGCTATTCGTGGGCCCAAAGTCTCTGCTCCTGACTGCTGCATATCACGCTGCTCATTCGATGGCTCGTTAGCAGGAATATACGTGGGGTCTTTCCTCCCCCCCCCCTGCGCTGCCAGAGGAGAGGGGGCATGGCGAGGGATGCCCTGGAAAAGTCGCTTGAGGGACCCTGGACCGGAATTGGAAATCACTTCAACTCCCGTTTCTGGGTCCTTAACGGCGCTGTTCGTGCGCTTGTGCGGCGGGACAGCGATAACTCCTTGCCCTCCAGTACGCGGCAACTATAGGGTAACAGCCAACTAGCTGGAAGCACTACGACTGCTGCTGCTTGCTGCAGCGTAGTTGGTAAACTCAGGGGGAGGAAAACTTTTCCTTCTCAACCGTTCCGATCCATGCACTCTTGCCCAACCGTGCATCCAGGCCGTGCCAGGAAGACGGGCACCCTGGGCGTCGGGATTGCGTTGTGTGACAGCGAAACAAATGACTGGATGGCCACACAGCAGCAAGCAAGACTATGTCAAACTCGCACATTCTTCCCTGGCCAGTGAACGTGTTTCTTCTCGCTGCCGGCTGCAGCCTGTTCGAATTGCCCAGCAATTTGTCAATTGTCAGGCTTGCGACACCCTGTGACTAACCTGCATACATGATTGACATTCGACATGCGGCTTGTCCGGAATATCGGTTCGAGGCGTTGAAGCAATACAGGGGATAGTCAGAGTCTCTTCGGCACAACTCTCTCGATTTTTTCCCTCACTGTCTGTCATTATTCACTCACCTACTCCGTACGCATCCGGGTTGCATTTTGTGTGTGGATACTTATTTATAGCAATCACATCACCATGTCATGCATGGTGATAGGTTTATCGGGGTTAAGCCCAGGGGGTTAACCTGGAATTAGCCCCCTATATTAAGCGCAGTTACGAATTGCGCAAAGTCCTTGGCGCCAGGAATATTTTAGGTACCAAGAATAAGCCAGCCAGGGATAATTATGAGCAACAACACCACATAGCTAACTACCCGGTCACCAGAGACGGCAGACGAAAATTAGACTGGCCGGGGGACTGAGGAAGCTGAGCCCATCACACGCTACCATGTGCTAAGGCACAAACTATGCCTGTGCCTTCGAGCTACTGGTTCGGGGGGTCTCGACAGCATGAGCCTATCGTTTCTCAGCATTGGGGAAAGCCATAGGACATGCCGATTGGATACTCAATGCACAGGAAGCAGAAGCCTTCGGTCGAGAGCTGCTCTCTCTGCATTTAGTTGAAGTGTTGGCGTCCTTGTTCTCGTGTCCGACTGCTCTGATTACTTATTCGTGAGTATCATTTGATTGAATGTGCCACGAAATGAGCAACGAAACTGCTACGAAAAAAAAAAAAAAATGAGCCATATGGTTCTTCAAAACAGAAAAAGGGTTTCTCACCTGCGGCTGCCCATGGTTAGAGACTGGCACGACCGTTACATCGGTAACTTTCCAGCCCACCGGGGGCCTACAAATGCTTGGTCTATCCCCAGGCTATGGGCTGTGCGACAACCTTCACCTAATTGACCCCTGCCGCTATATGCATTTGGCATGCTATAACTATACAACCGCGCCGTCCCAGTGGGATCCACAGCTGCCACACTTGACATGAAGCCTGTCTGTCGAACCCAGTGCACTCTGAGATGCTCGCTTCTCTCATAGAGGCTAAGGCGTAGTTATCGACATACTTTTTCAACTAAGATGCTAAGTCCGAAGAGACGCCGGGGTAACGTTGATTTGCATACGCTGCCACATTTATCGCATAATGGGGCCCTCAATTATGTGTCATGCAATGCTACCTCTGTGGAATGGGGCTTCTGCCTGTCTAGCAAGGGGAGGATAATAGGCCCCCCTTGATAAGCAGAAACACCCTGCAGATCTGCAGCTGGGGATGGTGCAGCTAATTATGAAATTCGAAGGGAGTTTTGGACAACGATTGACTTCCACGATCTCGAGTATTCTCGCAAAATATATAAAGCATAAAGCCCAGAGAGTTTCGGTGGATTTCAATTCTTCCGATCGACCAACCTTCTACTCGTCAAAGTTTACCGCAAACACGCCAGTCACACTATCTTGTCCTCTTGTTCCTTTCTAACAATGGAGGCTGTTCGTCGAATTAACCGATGGACTCAGGACGAGGACTCAATTCTCATCCAGAAACTATATGAGCAACAGACCTGTACTTGACGTGCCCTTCCCACAATCTACCCCTTTCTCGATTCTCTGTGCCTAATATAGTTTTTTTCCTTACTAGACGACCTGCCTGGCGCACCCACCGACTGGCAAAAGATTGCTGCTGTTCTCCCCGGCCGAACGAATAAAGACTGCCGAAAACGATGGTTCAATGTTCTCAGTGGTGGTCTACGAAAGGGTGCTTGGTCGCCTGAAGAAGACTCATACCTAAGAGATGCCGTACGAATCGAGGGCAAGTCGTAAGTATTGTAACTTATCTGAAGGTAGCTATGTCTATTCGCTCAGAACTAACAGGTAGAAATAGATGGATGCGTGTTGCCCAACATGTCCCCCAACGCACTGCAGATCGTATGTTTTACAATGTTTATTTGTATAAGGAAAAATTCAGGCTCTAACTGGACTTTAGAATGTGCAAAACGGTGGCAGCATTTCCTGGATCCTACCCTTGATCGCTCTGAATGGACAGCAGGAGAGGTATGGTAGCTCTTAAATGGCTGTAATACAGAGTATCTTGCTAATATGGGCGATATTTCAGAATGAGCGTCTACTCCGTGCCGTACAGCAACATGGTCGTCGTTGGCTGGATATCCGCAACCAATACCTCCCTTTGCGATCTCCAAATGCTCTAAAGAACCAGTAAGTACCCATAATTGGCATTATTATTCCTCAGTTCACCGTAAATAACACAATCACTAACCTTACCCTAGATACTCAATTCTTATGCGCCGTCATGAAAGAAGTCTTGCAGCTGCCGGGAAAAAGAACCAGAACGCAATGGGCATCGCTCCAAACTACCATTCGGGCTCAATTAATACGCCAAAAACCCCTAATAGTCGTACTGCCTCAAAAAAGTCTCGTAAAATCCATTGCGAGACTGACGCATACATTAAAAAGGAGCCAGACGATGATGTTATGAGTTCATTCTATGGCGAAGCCGACTTCAGGTCTACCATGTCACCAGCAACAGATTATGGTTTTGTTGAAAAAGCAGCCTCGACACCTGACCCAGTTACCAGTCCATACATTGGGTTCCTCAAACAAGAGGAAATATCACTGACGGAGTATGATGTGCCGTGCTATGGTACGAGCTTTGAGCTACAGTACGAAACAAACGCCACTCAGCTATCTCACGTAGATGCTGGAATCTCAAGCAATGCCGCTGAAGACATGTGGATGGCATATCCCACGTCACCAAGCTCAACTGCACCGAGCTCAATTGCCCCGAGCGACGGTGATATCGGCGGCCCACCTAGCAGAGATCAATGGGGCTACAGCGCTCCCGGCATTCCACCCCAAGAGCAAAACGCACTTACAGCGTACGGATACAACGGATACCATTGAAATCCTACCTACTTCAACAAACAACTGACGTTATCACGGCGTGGCTATCTCTCGGCGTTATACAGATTAAGAAATGCCGGTCTTAAGACGAGTTACTTCCCCAACCCTCCTTTCGCCTGTCAGCTGGCATCCCAGGCTTCACCACTCAGCTACCAGTTCTCCTTTTTCTAATGGGTTTTGTTGCATTTTCAGATTGTATCATGTTTTCCATTTGTTGTATTTCTTAGTCTTGTGTTTTCTTGCCTGTTCTTGCGATATGTTTTATGTCTAATGGTTATGATTAATGGCTGATTCGTTACTCATTTAAAAATTTGGCTAAATAAGATGAGTAGTTATTGCTTTTTCAAACATATTCGAAGTGACTCGCTGTCCTGCCTCGGCTAGCCATTCTCCTTAATCAACCTGATCCTTAGTGGTTACATGAAAGCATTCCTTTCTAATGTACGCCGGACGCCTACTCAAGGGGCCATCTCTCTAAACATTTTTCTTCATAGTGGCGGCTCAAATATCGTTTACTCGTAGCAAGTGGCGAAGACCCAACTCATTCCTTCCAGTTTGACGAGATAGAAGACATACCCTGTGTATGAAAGCTATAACAACGGGGATTCAAGGATCGGCGAGCGCCGGGAGCCCCCGGGTTAACCAAGTAATCAGCCACATGAAAACCTGGTCCCTTAACAAGTTATTTATAGATATTCTCTTTCAGCAGTTGATAAAACCTTGCATTACGGAGTAATTCACGCGCACTTAGAAGTAGTCAGCTTTCTCAGCTATGTTCAGCCTCAGAGAAATGATTATGAATAGCAGACATTAACAAACTCGAACTACGCCATAATTTCATCCAAATAATAAAATCTAGAACTCTATAGCGGCTTAGCTGGTTACAGAGCGCTACGTGACCATCTAGCGATAATTATAGCAGCTGTCGGACCCCCCTTCTCTTCCTGCCCTTCATCGTTTAGCTTTTTTATTTTATTCATCTCGCCCGTTTTAAAGGAACGATCGCACAATTGAGCCTAATCTATTTCCGTAGCGATCTCATTATATCTCATTTATCAAGTAGCATTGTGCTTTGCCGCGCCTCCTTTTCGTCGCTTCTTAGCTATTTTATTATGTTCTCGCCTTTATATTTCCTATCCTCCAAAAAAAAACATATATTTACCCGTCATTATATATTCTATTATAAGCGCATATCATATTTATTTACTGCCCCC